GGTCCTGGGCATGCCGGCGCTGTCGCCCACGATGACGCAGGGCAACATCGCCGCCTGGCACGTCGCAGAGGGTGACGAGATCAGCGCGGGCACTGTGCTGGCCGACATCGAAACGGACAAGGCCACACTGGCCTTTGAAAACCAGGACGACGGGTTTGTGGCCAAGCTGCTGGTGCCCTCTGGCGCGAAGGACATTCCAGTGGGCGCCCCCGTCGCGATCGTGGTGGAAGAGAAGGAGCAGGTGGCCGCGTTTGCGGGTTACGCGGCGCCCGGCGCGCCGGCGGCGGCGGCAGCGCCACCGCCGCCGCTGGAGGCGGCGGCGTCCGCGGCAGCGCCCGTGGACAAGCGGCCGCCGAACTTCCGTCTGGGGCCGGCGGCGCGGTGGGCGCTGGCGGAGGCGGGGCTGCGGCCGGAGGACGTGACGCCGACGGGGCCGAACGGGATCGTGACCAAGCCGGACGTTCTGGCGGCGGTGGCGGCCGGCGTGAAGCCGTCAGGGGCGGCCGCGGCAAAGCCCGCGCCCGCGGCGGTGGCGCCAGAGGCTGCGGCGGGGGCCGCGAAGCAGCAGCAGGCAGCCCCCGCGGCGCCGAAGCCGGCGGCGCCGGCTGAAGCGCCAAAGCAGCAGCAGCAGCCGCAGCAGCAGGCGACGGCGCCGCCGGCGGCGGGCGGCAAGAAGGCAGGCGGGCCGCGGGTCTCCTTCACAGACGTCCCGAACTCGCAGGTGAGCGGATGGGCTTGGCTGAGGTGGCCGTTTTTTGAGGGGAGGGTGAGGGGTGTGTGCATATGCTTGAGTACACGGCAGCCATCTCTGCTATTTTCAGCCGCCCCCGACAGCCAATAACAGCGGCCGTCCCGGGGCCGGGCGGCCGTCTGCCCCAGGCGCCCAAAGCGGCACAGCCGGGGCCCACTCGCACCTCGGCGGACCGCACAGCTCAAATCAACAACAGTTCGCCCGCTCCTCCCTGCACGTACAAATCCCACACGTGCCCGGGCCCGCCGCCGCGCCCGCCCCAGGTGCGCCGCATCATCGCCAAGCGGCTGCTGGAGAGCAAGCAGACAGCGCCGTCGCTGTACGTCTCCGCGGATGCGCCGCTGGACGGCGTCATTGCGCTGCGCAAGCAGCTCGCCGCGCAGGTGTGCGGGAAAGAGAGAGGCTGTGTGCATGAATGTGTGAGGTTGTGTGTCTATGTGAATCAGTGTGTATATTTGCGAGAGAAAGAGAGCGTGTGTGTGTGCGCATGTGCGCATACTTCATAAAGAGAGAGAGAAAGAGAGAGTGAGTGAGTGAGTGTGTGTTTGTTTGTTTGTTTGTGTGTGTGTGTGTGTGTGTGTGTGTGTGTGTGTGTGTGTGTGTGTGTGTGTGTGCACGCGCGTGCGCGAAAGTGAGTTTCCGCGTCTTTGTGGGGGGGGGGCGTCCCAGCCCTCTCGGCCCCCACCTGTCCGTCTCGCCCGCGGCGATGGCGTCGCTACTGCTCCCTGTGGTGGCCGCAGGTACCCGTCCCCCTAGGTTCCGCTGGTCCTGCTGTCCATTGAAACCGCGCCACACTGCAGGATCCACCACAACGCTCTGAGCATGGGCCCGAGTGCACGCAGCCGTTGTTTCGCTCGCAGACGCACCCCCAGCGCCCCTCGCGTCACAGACCGGCGCCGACGACACCAACCCGCTCCACCCGCCACCCCCGCCTCCACCTTCTCCTTTTCCCGCCGCGAACGTCCCGCCTCACGCGGCGCCACCAGGGCGTGAAGGTCAGCGTGAACGACTGCGTCGTGCGCGCGGTCGCGCTCGCGCTGCGCGACGTGCCTGAGGCCAACGCGGCGTGGGACGGCGCGGCCGGCGCGGCGGTGCGGGCGCCGGCGGTGGACGTGGCTATCGCGGTGGCGACAGAGGGCGGGCTCATCACGCCCATCGTGCGGGGGGCGGACCGCAAGTCGCTGTCGCAGGTGGGGGTGAGGAGGGGCCCGGGCCTGAGAGGGGCCGCTTTGGATGGGAACGCGGACAGTGGGGAGCGGGGTGTCGGGGGCTTGCTTTTGGAGGCACGACCCAGGGGCGGCCAGGCTGCAACCCGGCATGTGGACTGCCGGCCGCGTGGCGTGTGCCGGCGGCCACCTCGAGGGCGGCCCCACTCACACAAAGCTGCCCCCTTCGTCGCCTCCCTTGCGCATACCACACCTGCACGCCGCACCCGTCCAAACCACCCCGCGCCCGCGTCCCTCCCCCCCTCACTCGGCCCCATCCCCTGCCTGGCCCCACACCCTGCCCCGCCTTCTTTTCCTGCCTTTCTCATCTTGCGTGCATCTCAATCAGATCTCAGCAGAGGTGAAGGACCTGGCGGCCCGCGCGCGCGCCAACAAGCTCAAGCCGGAGGAGTTCATGGGCGGCAGCTTCTCCATTAGTAACCTCGGCATGTACGGCCTCAGCCAGTTCGCCGCCATCATCAACCCGCCGCAGGTGCGCCTTTGGTCTGGGTGTTTTTCCTCCTTGTGAGAGGAGTGCGTGGGGGCAGGGGGGAGGGGTGCCTGCTGCGGCAACGAGCCCTGCGCGAGTGGCTGGTGTCGCTGGGCCGGCGTCCGGCCGCAGGCTGCCGTGTCAGAAGCCCTCAAACCCCACACTACCGCCAGCCCCGCCGCGCCACGCCACAACAAGCCGACGCGGCAACACCCCACCATATCCCTCATGCCCCACGCACCCCCGCAGGCCGCCATCCTGGCCGTCGGCGGCGGCCGGGAGCGCGTCGAGCTGGTCGAAGGTGCCCCGCGGGCCGCCACTGTCATGACGGCCACCCTCAGCGCAGACAACCGGGTCTACGACGGCGAGCTCGCGGCGAAGTTCCTGGCGGCATTTAGCGGCTACATGGCGCACCCCGTCACCATGCTCATGTGATGACGCCCAGGCGGTGACGTCACCACTCTGCCCGCCGTGGGGGCGGCGACGGCCCCTCTGTCCGTCTAGGCTCGTTCGCAGGCCGCGTGCGGCGCTGGCAGCTTGAGACGCGCTGGGGGGCACGATGCAGCCGCTGCTTGATCCTTCAGTTGTGTTTGTTGGCTGTCCTTGTTGATACGCACCCGTGCATGCTTGCCTAACTGTTTGCGGGCTCGACACCTCTCTTTTTGGCTCTATGTGTTCTCGATATACAACCCTCCCCAAGAGGGCTGCGCGCGGGCTGCGCCCTTGCCCTTCTCCTTGTTGTCCATCATCCAGCTTTGTAACGCCACCTGCAGCCCCAGCACAGCCCGCTCAGTCGGCTGGGCACCGCAGACCCGCCACCGCCACCCTGCGGGGCGGGCCCGCGCCGGGAAACAAAGAGACTCCAAAACGCAGTCCAGCGTCAATCGGAGCCCCACGTCTATTCAAGCTTCACAGCGTTACACAGGGGCGCGCTCCGCCATTTTATAGCGCGGTCTGACGGGAGCATGCGGAAACTCGCTGTCTATCAGGCGCCATATGCAAGCGGCGGGCGGATCACGAGTTGCCCCTCAGGACGAAGGACGCCCGCCCGCAATCGGGGCGACGCGCCGACAAAAAGAAATCAAGAAATACAGTCCGCCCGAAGCACGCGTGCAGGGCGGCATGGAGTTGTTGAGTTATCACCACGTGGGATTAACACGCGGCTTGCGGCAGGCCACGCCCCCGCTTGCGCCGCACAAGTGCACATAGTCTCACATCTAGACATGTCACAGCTGCGATGGCCCCCAACCCTTGCACTCGGGTCGCCGATGCTGCGCGCGCAAGCGCTGAAGCAACGCACACACTACGCAGCCTGCTTTGCAAGAAAGGAAAACAGCAAAGACAGCAGCTGCTGGGCCCGCCCCGAGACTGCATTGGCGCCGCGGCCCGACGAGAGGCGCACCTGGTTGCCGCCCGCCGGTATCATTTCAATTGCTCTGCACATTATGGGTGCCAAGTGCTTGCCTGGCTGCCTGCAGGTCGGACATCACTGATAAAAACTACCCGTAGAAGTCGGGCGGGCACTCCCAAACCAACCGCCCTCCCAGCCCCCGAC